TGTGTGGGGGGAGGCAGAAACAAAAGAGGGGAGGTTGAGAGAGACGAGGGGACCGACGACTTGGCAAAAAGGCAGCAAGAGCCTTGCCACGATCAAGGAGGGGCCGCAAACGAGCGCAGGGTGGCAAGGGAAGGGAGGCCACACAAAAAGATTGGGCGATCAGAGGGACGGGTGGTTGCAAGAGAAAGGCTGAGGGCGAGAGGCGACAAGGGTAAGAGCCACGCGATGAGGAGGGGAGGGAACCCAGAGAAGCTGAGGGTGAAGGAAGCCGCAAAGACAAAGGGACGGGAAGAGGGAATGCGGGTGAGAGAGGGCACCAGATGGGAGACCAAAGGGATGGAGGGAACGACGCCAGGTGGCGGTAACAGAGGAAAGCAAGTAACGGTAGAGGGAGTAGCGCCAAGTGGCTAGGAAAAAATAGGGATGGAGAGATCAACGACAGGTGGTAGCAGCAGAGGAGAGCACGAAACAAAACATGTGGCGATGCCAGTGGCATCACCAATGGAGATAGCGTGTCACCAGGGGAGGCTACCACGAAGAGAGAGTTGGGAAGGGGCACGTGTCGAGAGGGGGTGGACAAATAGAGAGGGGGGCAGGGGGAACAGAAAAGAAGACAAGGGTGGGAGTAAGGGAAGGCAGAAAAGAACAGATGGGGGCAAAAGAGGAAACAGTCGGCGAAGGAAGGCCCATAGGAGGCCTCGATAATTGAGGTGTAGCGGGATGTAGAGGACACAACAGGTAACTTGCATAAAATGAACCAACCTGCAGGGGCATAGGGGGGCTCAAGACGGAAGAGGAAACCCTCTCAATTAATGGGGGAGGGTCCAGGGTAGAGGTTGACGACAACAGCGGCAGATCAGCAGGTGCCAAAGCAGCAGGGAGGGGTGAACGGCAACGGAGAGGGTCAAGGGCAACAACAGCCGCGATCTTACCAGAGTTTCGTCAGATAGGGAAACACTGACGACCCTTTCTGCCAAGGCGACCTCTCCGGTACCACTTCCAGCCACGAACTAGGGTCCAACCGTCTGGGGAAGGTAGCAACTTATTCCGGGGATTGAAGCAAAGGTTCAGTTGCCTGAAAATGGAGTCTAGAAGGCGGCAAAGCCGGAATCCAGGCCAAGCTGACCCTGAAATGTTGGCCGTTAATCGCAAGCCTAGTCGCCTCAAGAATAAGCTCCGGGGAAAGTGAATTGACGAGCAACAAGATAGACTCCGAAGATTTCCAATGAACGCAGATGAACCCCCCAACTGCATCGCCAATGGACTTATAAGTTTTTGGATTGTAGACGTGAAGGGGAATGTTGAAAGCCCGATGCCAAATATGGCGAGGGAGAAAGGCTCCCAAGTTATGGTTCCAACGAGAGATGGAGAGGGTGGCACCTTTGAAGGCAGAGGGGGTGAGCATAGGGTCTGCAAGGACCGCCTCCCGGGAAGGGAAAGAGAAGAGGATGCCTTCGCACTGAAAGGAGCAACGGCCTATGTTGGGATCATTCCACGACTGTTGGGCCCACTTTTCAATGGCATGAAGGTCTGAAATTGGGGGGGGAGAGTGGCGAACGAGGGAGTTAAGCAAGGTCGAATGAGAGGGAAGGGGTGAGTCCTGGACTCGAATGGCCAAGGACCCTAAGAGAGGCAGCAAGAGGGGAAGCCACAGGGAAATTGAGCAGAAGGAGGGGGAGGGGGTGCCGGGCGGAGGAGAAAGGGTGGGGGAGTGGCTGGAGAAAAGCCGTGCGAAGGAGAGGGGCGATGCCGGAACGGTTGGGGCCGCCATGGACGTAACATTCATGAGAGAGAAATTTTTCTATCAAGAGGCTCGAGTTGTTCTAGAGCAGGAATATGGTCACTATCACCTAGACTAAAATGCTTGAAATCTTGATAAAGAGCTTCATAAGAGGGGTTTCTCAATGCAGTCATAGGAAGAGGTTGCAGGTCCATCACTATTTATTTATTTAACATTTTGCCCATATCTTTTACTTTAATTTCAAATACCATCTAAATACACATAAACATGAGTTGGAATAGTTGGAAAAGGGTAAAATGTTGAATTGTCGAAAAGTTAGGTGTATTTTGATAAATTCCCTTAGCTTTAATAGACATCAGGAAGTCTTTGCGCATTGCATGACCCTTTGATCTATCTGCAATGTGAATGGTTTCTAATTGATAGCGAACATTCAGAACAAAGCGATGCAAAAGGTGGTTCTCGTGAAAGGTTTACTTGCTTCCTTGCTCATGATGGTTGGGAGAGTTCCCAAATGTCCTACTTCACAGAACCAGACATAAATTGTGTAGGTAGATTCTTCTGTTTGGGTGTTTTACTAGTGTCAGGCACATATGGATATACATACCTGCTCTGATTCTTCTGTATTCTTCCCCTTTTTTTACCATTGATTACATTTTTAGAGACTTTTTTTAAAAAATAGATTTCATTTTTAGAGACTTGATCTTTTTTTGTTACGGTGAAGTTTGAAAATGCCAACTGGACTTCAAAAACTTCCGTGGATTCAGTTGACGTACAATTGATTATTTCGTGCTACTCATCATGAAAACGAATATTAATGAAAAATTGTTGGATTTGGTTGTCTCTTCATATATAGCCGTGTTGCCGAATCCTATTCTTCGTGGCGTGTGGAATCGTACACCCCATACCCACTAACACATGTATCCGAGTCCATGCAACATAGGATGTAAGCCTGGCTTTCTTGGAAATATATTTGATCATGATAACCCGTTTTAATTGCCAAAAACAAGAAGTTACCTTTGTTTCCCACTTCTTCTTCTTCTTCTTCTTTCTTTTTTTTTTTTTGTCGGCTGGCGTTCCACTATCATCCTTGGAGCAACCATACAACCACTATGTGTTAAAGTTCCTGCCCACACACCATCTCATCTCATACAGGGCTTACATTTCCTCTATTAGATGCTTGCAACTCATAATAGGACTTGAGAGTTGCTTGTATTGATGTTTGAAAAAAAAACCCTGCTCACTTGTTAGAGATGTTGCCCATTAGTGATCTTCTAGGTTTGAACATTGGAATGTCAGCGAAGGGCCAGTCTTGTGGAGGAAGAGCTCACTAAGACGAGCATTATCTCTTGGGTATTGAAGGAGCTTAAGTTGGTGGGTATGGGACATAAGAGAATAAGGACAACATTGGGCAGTCGAGCACTCCATTGAGATTTTTTAGGTCTAAAATGTTCCCTTCAGAATGGGTTTTCAAGCTAAAGTTTTATTGTGATTCTTTTTAGAAATGTTGTCCTTGCTTGCTTTGGGGGTCTAATCCAGCATGGGCATGTCATAGTCAAGAAACTTTGAGTTTTCGCTGGGAGTGTCGGAACCCTTGGGAGCTGAAGAAAGCACTTCAGAGTGGACTGAGGATTTTATGTCATCGCGCTTTGGCAGCCTCATAATAGGATATTGTTTTATAGCCGGACTAAGACATAATATATGGAATGCAAGTTTAGAAATAACAGGAGTAGAATGAGGAAGTAGTTAAGACTGATGATCAAGAAATACCTAAAATAAATTGTTTCCAATATTTGGGGTCGATAATTTAGGAGAATGGAGAGATTGAGGAAGATGTTGCACATAGAATTAGAGCCGGGTGGGCAAAAGGGAGATATGCATCTAGAGTTTTATGTGATGGCCACATACCATAAAGTATGATTGTAGGACTAGCCATACTTTATGGGAAAGAATGTTGGGCCGTCAAAAAACAACATATCCATAATATGAGCGTAGCTAAGCTGAGGATGTTGAAATGGATGAGTGGCAAGACAAGAAAGGATGAAATTCAGAATGAATACATACGAGGGAACTTAGGTGTGGCTGCAATAGGCTATACGATGAGGGACAATAGACTTAGGTGGGCTAAGCCATGTGCAGCGTAGACCTAATACAACATTGGTTAGATGGCGTGATTTGGTTCAAGTGAAAGGCTCTAAAAGGGAAAGGGGAAGGCCCAAAAGGACATGGAAAGAAGTAGTGAGACAAGATGTAACTTTTGGTCTTATTGAAGGTATGATCCTTAATAGAGAAAAATAGATGAACATGATTCATGTAGCCGACCCCAATTAATTAGGATATAGCTTGGATGATGATGATGATAATAGGATATTCTCTTAATGTGGTTAGATGGATTCAAAGGGTTGCTATTAATGTGTGGAGGATTGTAGATGTCTCATAGGAGATTCTGGAGACATTAAGCTATTCGGAATATTCCTTTCTTTCACGCAATAAAGCTACTATAACAGCTGGTGTATTTGTCCCGAATGAGGATTGAAGGATGGATTACATTGAGAATAATGGTATTCCCTAGAGAGAAGGTTATTCACCTTATTGGAGAAAGTTGATATTGTGATACAAGAATCCTAAGAGCAAAGTGCTCTAATATTTAAATGTAACACTCCTGACATCTCAATGGATCGAATAGAATCTACCGATTGGCCAGTCATCTATCTCTTCTTTCTAGGATTTGATATCGGTTTGAACAAAAAATTGACTAGTTTGAACTATTCTCAGTGGACCATTTCAAAGTTTATCTTTCTTTATATGATTTTTTATTGATTTTATTGGAACATTCTTTAGAAAAAATTTATTCAGTTCTTTGCAATATAATGGTACATACTAAGGATGTTGACGTGGAGTTTGGAGAATTTAAGTTCATGTTTTCCTTTTTTGCAGGGTAGCAAGCAACAAGATAATGACGGCAATGGTGGATCTACATCTTCTCCCGATGTTTTCCAACTTAAATCTTGTCTTAGCAGTTCTTTTCCCCATGCTCATGTTAGTCACCAGTAGTCCAGCACATGCTCTTTTTCTTAAATTCATTATTTATGCCTTTTATTAGGACTATCTATGAGCTCTCTCTCATTCTCTCTCTCTCACACACACACACACATCTATCTTAAGTCATTTCTAACTTTGGTTGTACTTTCTCAAATGCAGGACAAGAGAGCTGTAAGGAAGCTGCCAAGCTTTTGATGCAAGCTGGTTATATTCATTTGGAGTCCACTCCATCTTTCTGCATTTCGGACCTTTCTCTACCCTTGCAGTGTAGAGAGGTGGAACTTGTACAGTTATCAATTCTTCATATTCACAGCACAAATATTTTGCGAAGTGCTGTGTTGCCATTAACAGTGATTGCAGCCTTTTATCCCATGATTTCATTTTTCTCACTCATCTCATCCCATGTATTGATTTCCCACTTTCAACACTAGAGGCAATACTTTTCTGTTTCTTCTTAAATGCTCGAGACTTTCGGATAGGAAGAATCACCAAAGAGTACAAGTTTTGTTTCATCCTTCTTTGATATTCTCTTTGTTTTGATTGATTGGTTATAGGTACTGTGGTTATCACAGCATAAAATTTCTTAGACCCATCTATCTTTCTTCATTTTTTAACTTTTTGGGTGGGTAAGATGGATTCAAAAACCGAGATCTTGTTAGTGTTGGAGCTTTTCTACTCTAATCACACTTATCCAAGAGGTTGAATGTCAGTCCCATATTTGGGCTTGTGTATTAGTAGGTCTGAATTAGATTACAAGTTATTGAAAGTTTTGATTAATGACAATAACAGATCAATTGTGGTGGATGTTGGCATTGTTATTTAACCTGCATACCACTGCCAGAATGTGAAAGCATCTTTTATTCTTAAGCAGCAATCGGAACGTCACTTAGTTGATCTAGAATCGCTCAAATCAAATCGGAATTGGGACCTTGGTGATTCTAGAGGGAGTCATCCAAATATAGGGCAGTCTTAGGCTTGACCAACTCTCTAACTGAATCTGGTTTGGGTTTATGGTGAATCAAGTATGAGGTCAAATTTTTTGACACTACTTCAAGGAAAGCCTACTTTTGTATATGATTTTGAGAGGGGGAAAGAAGTCATGGTCTCTTCAGTGAATGCTTCTTGCGGGAGAGTGTTTTTACGTCTAAGTTTAGGATGAGTTTTATTGTTGTATCTTCTTTGGTCCTTCCAGTGGGTGCTTAAATAAGAAAAGGGAAAATTTAGGAAAGTATACAATAAGATTATTTATCTTTGATAAAAGGTAGTCACAATTAATCTTGTCCATCAGAGGTGAAATTGGGGGTTGTATTTATAATATTCATCAAGCTAAAAGTCCTAAAGATTTTGGGAAAGTTACAAAAACCCCTCAATATACACTATTTATTCAATTTACCCCCATCCAACCTTATTCTCTCACCTTTTTCCCATTAACAACTTATCTTCGCAAAAACCCCCCCCCAACCCAATAAAAACTAATCAAGTTTAAAATACCCTTTTTCACACGCCTTTTCTTTCTCTCTCTTTTCGGCAACGAAGACAACGCGCTTTGGCGATACGAAAATTCGCCCTGGCAGTAGACCTTTTGGAGCCAGGGCACTCCGGCGGTTGATTACATCGCTTTGGTGGTACAAAAAAGGGTTCTGACAATACCGACATTCGCTTCGGCAGTACATCTTATGGAGCCACAGCGCTTCGACAGTGTGGTAGTTTGCTTCGGCAGTAGACGAATTTGCTCCGACAGTAGACGAATTTGCTCTAACATTACATGATCTCGCTCCAACAGTACACCTTTTGGAGACATTTTGCCCCGGCACTCTATGAATGCGCTCCGGCAGTGCATTAAGGCGCTTCGGCAGGGTTTTCAGTGCTCCGACGGTACACCTTTCGGAGCCACATCGCTCTGGCAGTACCTAGTCTGATCTGGCAATCATTACTAAGTGCTTCGGCAGTGTTATTCTACGCTCTGGCAATATACAACTTGGGACAGCCAGTTGAATTTTTTTGTATGAGAAGGGCTTTTTTGTCTAAAAAATAACAACTTTTTACCTTGGGGGTTTTTTACGAAGAAAAGTTGTGGGAAAAAAGGGAGAGGAACGGTTGGTTGGGGGGTAAATTGCGTAAATAGTACATTTTGGAGGCTTTTTTGTAATTTTTCCAATAATTTTTCTCGAACTTTGTAATACATCCATGCCATCAAATTTCACATCGAATCATTTATTGTTGGTATAATTAAACTTCTCATGTTGGCTTTCAATGTGAAATAGGTGGTTGGAGAAAATTAACCTTTATTTTTCAAAAAAGGGATAGTTAACCTTTATTTAAAAAGAAAACGAAAAAAAAGAGGATGTTGAGGGTACAATCAGAACTGATAAGCGTAGTAATGGGCTGGCTAGAGCTTATTCATTCTCTAAAATGATAAACAATCTTTTAAGGTTAGGATCTTATTTGATATTTGCTTTTTATCTCATGTTATTCACCTTTACAAGATGAGCAGCAATAGGCCAGATCTTGTCCATTATCTAAAATGATAAACAATCATTTAAGGTGAGGATCTTATTTGATATTTGCTTTTTATCTAGTGTTACTCACTTATCTAATATGGGAAAAAGTAAAATTAAGGATTAGACCTCTAGGCCAAGGTCAAGGCCAACCTTCACCTTGCCTTTTTACACAATTAGATCAGATCGTCATAGACAAACTTGGGATTTGCGATCCCAGGTAAGATTTGTTCAAAGTCAGGGGATTCTGTTCAGTAAGATAGGAAGGTCCTTAACACAAAAAGTACTTCTAAGTAATTGCTCCATAGATCCTATATCCATGTTGCAAGCCCTAACAATAATGCTTTAGATCTTAGAGAATGTATTTAAAAAATTTGTGCTGAGAATGACACGCTTCAGCTGTTCAATTTTTATATCAGACGGCTTGGGGTGTTTGTGACTTTTGTCTACAAAATTAACAATCACATTATGATTATTTACCTTCAGTATTTAAAAATCCAATCGCTCTTAACAACAATGTAATTGGAGGTGTAACGGTATACGTCCTAGAAATTTGACAAAATTATCCTCTAATTTTCCTCAGATAAATGATCCACAACTGCCAGATTTTACATTGGGCGCATGTGTGTTTGTGACCTTTTTATGTGAGGTAATAGTCTCATTGTTTTTTTTATTTTTTTGAGGTAATTCAATGAGGAATACAGCTCCTATCCGTTTTTTCAAATAGTTTAGGATATCCGTTTTTTCAAATAGTTTAGGAGTTGTTTTTTATTTTTTTGAAGGTGTTAGTGCGGTGGCGGGTGACCCGGCCCCTTCCCCGTAGTCTCATTGTATTTGTTCATGCAAAATGAATGTATATAATAAGACTCTCTGCCTTTGGTAGTAAAGGACTGTGATCATCCCTAACCTTTAGATATGAAATCCGGTGGTTGGAGGTGCACCACGAACTGCATTTGAAATCTGAAAAAAATTTCCTCAAGACTTTGGGTATATAGATCGCACCCCAACCATCCTGTTCTCCAGTGGCCAACTTGGGGTGCTTGTGAATTTTTTGTCTGAAAAAAGTTAACCGTCTCATTAATGATAGCAACAGGGCTGGCTCGAGCCCACCCTTTGACCTATAAGGGCCAGCCAGCCCAAAAGGGCCAAAGGGTCAGTATCCAAGGCCCCACCCTTGGGGTAGGTTGCCCCACCTGGGCCTATCAATGGGTCAGGATGGGCATGTCTTCAATAGATATTATTTATTTATTTTCCAAATTCAAGTCCTAGACTAGCCATTGTTCCAATTTTAGTGTTCTATTGTTTTTCTGGGCCCGCCCTTGATATTAGGCCTAGATTTTAGGCCCAGTCCAATTATCGTGTCCTTTATATTGTTCGGATTAAGTTTTTATAAGGCCTAGGTTTTATGAAAACAAAATAAAGCATCACCTCAAATGTTCATGTGGAAATCTTTTTTGCGGAAAGGTTTCTATACTTCCCCTACAACATAGAAGATTTATTCTTATGCTACCGTCTAGCAGTCCAATTTTGATTAAGAGAGACACTCACCGTTTGATCTTAGATCCAACTCTCAAAGTATTTTTTTGTTTTTAGTTTTTCTTCATACAAATTGTATGAATATAAAATTTGGTACGTGTCATATTCTCATTGGGGCACACCTATAAAAAATATTAAAATTAATTTTTGATAAAATATAATGACCAAAATACCTTTTGAAACTTTCAAAGGTATTTGATCGTTTTATTTTATTGAAAATATTTGTTTTATATTTTTCGCTAGTGCGAGTTTAATAGAAGATTGGACGTCCAAAATTTGGTGTCAGAATAGTCTATAGAAAAAAAAAAAATAAAACTAAAATAGTATAGAGAAGTGACATTGTGATTAAGGCAATCATAACCCTCCATTCAAAAAGACGGTTGCATAAGGGAAAGTATATAAGTTTTATGTGGAAGCAAAGAAAGCTAGCCCATCACTTTTTTCAATGTAAAACTCCATGATGATTCTAAAATAAATTTCAAACACCGAAAATAAATTTTGAAACTTAAAAAATAGTTAAGATCCTACAGATCGTCTTTGAACACTTATTTTTAGGGCAAAACAGGCCGTTTATAAAATTTGTTTTATATACACTATTTTTAGATTTTAAAATTTTAATTTGTTTTTCACAACCATTATGTTCAAGCCCAGATTATGGACTTTAAGATTTTTTAATGCTTAAATTGTAATTTTCAATTAGTTTTGAGATGAAACTTTGCTTACTTTGATTGGGCTTTGTAGCCCCTATCAAAACAGTTCCATCTTGTTATGGGGGCTAATTGATTGTATTCAATCCCACGAGGAATTATCAGACAGAATAGCCAGTTCCGAATTTATCATGGGGCATCTGCCTTTCTTCTCAAACAATGGACGGTGGAGATTCGTCAGTCTTTCTCCAACAATATGAACCGTTTCCTCACCTCTTTTGTTATTTTCAAAAGAACGGCCTGGATACACTATCAAGAGAAAAGTTAATTAATCCAAGCCATCGGCGTTCATTTAAAAGGAGAAGCAAACCCTAATCCCTTGCTCACTACTTGATCTTATCTGAGCAGCTACGCTTGCCCGGTCTCTCTGTCAGAGCTGCCTGAGATGCTGCCCTTCCAGAAATGAACGGCTTAGATTCATTGATGAGGTTGGTGGCGTCCGCCATGGCTGCCCGAGAGAAGGTCTGGGCAGGGGATCCCGCTGCTGTGAAGACGGCCCGAGGTTTGAGCCGTCATGGCGATGATACTTGCTCGGGCTAAACCCCCCAAACCCTAGAATCTCTCTCTCTCTCCTTTTCAAAGAAATATGTTGTTTTTGCTCTCTCTTAAAAAAATGGTTTTATTTACTCTCTTGAACTGATTTTTTTAGTGGTTTTATTAACTATCCCTTAAATTGGCTTTTAGGAAAATTTTAGCGTGCTGTAATTTTTATTTATTTTTGTGTCATCTTATTTCACTTTTTTTCAATTTTTCGAGTGATTTATTAATTTATCTTGATTATCTTAAATAAAGAGTATTAAGCCTTCTTTGAACTTGAATTTTTTTTTTACTGAAAATTTTACTATGTATTGTCTGATGCGAATTTGATTTCTAAGTTTTGGGTCATTTATTAGGACTCACAATGCCTGAAAAATAACAAAACCATTTTTAAAGAAAAAATTTCCTTTGCTTTTTTGGACAAATTTTGAAATTTTGCAGAGTTTTATTTGTTTGATTATAATGAGTGTGTTTTTTTGCAGATCAATTCTTGGAACATGGAGAACATATTATCTTCAAGAACTTTCTTTTTGTATTATACATCACACTAGAATTATTTACTACTCTTATTGATATTTGTTTTGTTGTTGAGAATAATTTGTATTAGAATTCTATTTACCACTCTTATTGATATTTGTTTTGTTGTCGAGAATAATTTGTATTGGAATTCTCTTATTGAGAAGTGTTGTTGAAAATAATGTTGTTTTTTTTTTGTATATTAATGAGAAAAAAATGAACGCTTACTCTCTTTTGAGTTTGAAATTTTTTGGGTTCTTACAAATACTTATACAAATATCATGGATTATTTTTTAAGGGAAAAGTTTATATTGAGCCGATGATCTAAACAATCAAAATTTGATAGGTTGTTTTGATGCCCAAATATTTTCAAATCGATCGTCTTGACATCGAGATGCCGGATCATGAGAAAAAAAATGGATTACAAGTTTTTGGAAATGGTACATTTATCAAGATTATTATGTGTTTATAGATATGTCGATCTACATTATTTTTGAAGCATTAAATTTTATAAATAAATATAAAAATATATTTTAAGGTTACGTGTAGACTTCCAACCTTAGCTCAGGGAATCGGATCTGACCAGTTGCCACTGTTAGCACGTTTGGTTCGAATGAAAATGAATTCTTAGAATTTATTTAATTAAAAAATAACTAATTTTCACATTTGGTTTGTCACAAGAGTAAGAAAATCTTTGAACGGTTGAAATTTATTTTCGTAAGTGTCTAAAATCTAAGAAATTAGAATCATACCTATATATGTAAGATTTCAATTTCTTTCAAAATAATTGGGTCAGAGGTGTAAGTAAGGCTGCCATTGGCCGGACTGGCTCGAGGCTCAGCAAAGCTTTAACATATTTTGGCCCGGCCCGGCCTGGTAAGGCATGGCTCGAAAAGTGTACCAAAATTAAAACCCCTCCCAGACCTGGCCTAACCTATTAAGAAGTATCCCTTTTTTTTTTTTCTTTTTTTTTTTTTTCTCTTCAAACTTTTTTAGTTAAGGTATAGAGTTGCTTTGAGAAAGAAGAGGGTGTGGTACCCCACGGGATTACAAGCCAAGGAAAGGATGAGGCCCTAAACAATCAAATTAAAGTGAATCTCAAAATTTACAAAGAGTTTTTTCTGTTCTCAGAAATTCTCAAATCGGTGATTTCAATATAAAGATGTATGGGCATAAGAGAAAATGGATTTCAAGTCTTGTAAGTAATATATCATGTAATGTATTTTTTAAGTCGTCAATTTTCAATATTTTCAAGTATTTATGGATTTATTTTCAAGATTTCAAGTTTTGAAAATAATACATTATCTAGACTCTTGTTTAAGCTTTAAATTTTATAGTTACATATGAAAGTAAATTTTCTAGTCATTCACAAAAATTTTTAGGAGTAAAACAACATGGATACTATTTCATGTGCCTAGCTTTGATTGTTTAAGAGCCCAGTCCTATGTCCAGCATAGTTCATGCAAAGTGAATTTAGTTCGTGCATATTAAACTCAAGTTGAATCAATTGGATCGGATTTAAAAATAAAAAATAAAAAATCAATCTAAGTGGTTAGTGTCATAACTTTTTAAAACTAATATAGAATTGGTGTTTGAGATGGAGAGAGAGATGCCATGAAGGGAGATGGAGAGTTTTTAAAACCAATGGAAGAGAGATTGTGAAGGGAGATGGAGGGTTTTTTAAACCAATGGAGAGAAATCCTCTGCAGTGTGTATTTAAGGGCACTTGTGGGGCAATTTCTGTTCATCCTTATATTCCACCACACTTATATTTTCAAAGAGATTTGGAGTCCATGGAAGGAGAAATTTGGAGTCTATGGAGGGAGATTTGGAGAATGTTATCAGATGGTGCACAAATTTATCTAACACATCATAAAGGCTAACTTCCATTGTTGATATTATGGGTAAGAGTAATCTATGTTGCTATAGAAAGGTTAATGGGTTATTGTATCGTGTATCGTTTTTTTTCAATTAATTGAGGTCGGTTACGTGAATTCTGTTTTGTCACTCTATTTTATTAGGGCCATACGTTCGGTAAAATTATAAATCCCATATCTTTTATCACTATTTTCAATCATGTTTTTTTTTTATCCACTTTTTATCCTTTTTGAATTTTTTATTTGAATTATTGTAGAAGCAGATATTTTGGTTCAATATTAGAAAAATTGAGCGATCTAATCAGCAACCGCTCGGTTAGGGGTTGGTTTTGGTTTGGGGTGGTTTTGGTGATCGGTCGGTATTTAAAAAAATAAAAAATAAAAAAATATGTATATAAAATCTCAAAAATAAGAAATTTGGTATGTAATATATATATTTTTTAATATTTTTTATATTATAGTAAATATTAAAAAAATGCTTTGATCATTAATATTCACTTTTACATTTTTCCACCTTGTTCAGAAATTTTTTAAAATAGCTCTAGGTACAAGTCGTTTCTTTAAAGTGAAAAGTTTATATGGAGCCGAGGCTCTAAACAATCAAATTTGAGTCTACTTCAAAAATATCATTAGAAGAGGTTGTTTTGATGCCCAAATATCTTCAAATTGATCATCTCGACATCAAGATGTATTGACATGAGAAAAAAATGGATTTCAAGTTTTGAAAATAATATATTTTGTAATGCATTTTTGGACCGTCAATTTTCAAGATTTTCAAGTTTTTATAGATTTGTCAATCTACACTATTTTTTAAGCTTTAAAATTTATAAATAAATATGAAAATATATTTTAAGGCTATCACAAAGATTTTCAACATTGAAACCACATTTCTCGATACTATTTGAAAGTAGGCTCTAATTTGATTGTTTAGAACCTAGGCTCTATACAAACCGTACCTTTCTTTAAAATCCATTTTTTTTTATTAATTTTAACTTTACTTGAATGTGTTTTGTTTTAATAAATCTTTATATGTTTTTCATATTTTAATAGCTTTTTTTTTTTTGTATATTTTTTAATTTTTTAACAATTTTTTATTTTTCAGGACTTACCCAGTTTGAACGGTTGAATAAGCCGGTTTACCGATTAAGCCGGTTTACCGATTAGACCGGATAAACTGCTTTCGGCCGAGTTAACCTTTACTGTTCAATTTTGCTAACACTGATTTGGCTGAGGTAGGTACAAGACAACCATTTTGTGCAGTTTTACTTTGGATAGCAATTTGGGCAGTTTCTTATGATCAAAAGGATAATAACGGACATAATCAAGCACTCAAAAGAGTTTAAAATTAGAAAACGATTTTGTTAGAGAAGCCCAAATTGCACTTTTGAAAGGATATAGTGACCCTTGCCTTCCTGATGCTGATTTGTTTTTGTACATAATACTTTCGCACATTTTGATACATAATAATGAGGTGAGAAATTAATGTAATTATCTATTTTTTTTAAGAGATATTAAGAAATGTCCATAAAATTTTGAAATCTATTTAGTTGTCCCTTTTTTTGAAGTTTTTTTTTCCCCAAAATGCCTGCAACTAGGTTGAATCTTTGACAATTGAGAACAATGATGTTCAGGAGTGTCAAACTTTGATTTTGGCTTTTATAGAGTTAAGTACTAAGGATACCGAACATAATAAATTCAATACTGATGAGACCGAACTTGCTTTTAATTAAATAAATAATTGTATTGTTCAACACCAAGAGTACCGAACAATGCATTAAAAGGATAAACTTGTTTGGTATTTTTATTATTGAACTAAAGAAAACATTTGGTCCTCTCAATAACCACACATTGTTTTTTTTTTTTGGTAGTTAATCAGCTTCCACCCAAATTCAGTGCCGAATTTATAAGCACATTGGAAAAAATAAACTTAAAAAAAAGATATTTATGTCCGAGATTATATATAATGAGATCATTTACCATTAGTACAAGGATGTCACAAATTACTTATGACCATCGATGTGAAATTTAATAACTTGGACGTGTTACAAAATTTTAGAAAATTTATTTTGAACTTTGAGCTTGATCAATGAAATATAGTTACGGTTTGTATAGAGTTGATGCTTTAGACAATCAATGTGAAGCCCACCTTCAAATAGTGTCGAGAAATGTGGTTTCAATATTGGAATCTTTTGTGATGGCCTTAAAACATATTTTGGTTTTTATTTATATAATTTAAAGCTTCAAAAATAGTGTACATCGAGCTGATCTATGAAAACTTAAAAATCTTGAAAATTGACGGTCAAAAAATGAATTACAAGATGCACTATTTTCAAAACTTGAAATCCATTTTTTTTTCTCATGTCCATGCATCTGGATGTCGAGATGATCAATTTGGGGATATTTGGGCATCAAAACAACATCTTTTAGTAAAAAATTTAAGGTAGGCTCTAATATGATTGTTTAGAGCCTTGGCTCCATATAAACTTTTTTTATGAAGTAAATGCAGCCACCCAATTTTACATCCAAGGGTCAGGATTAATGGTCACCACCTTGTAACAAAGGTAATTTGTCTCATTGTATATATACTTCTTCTTTACATAAATCTTCAAAATTTATCGATCTTGAAAATGGGCAACGATTTCATGCAACGATTGTATCATAGTATAATGCAACTACTCTTCTTAAAAACCATGTTTGCGTTATTTGTAAGATCCAAGTTTTGCACACACATTCTCTTCATCCCAGTAATGAATCCCCAAAAAAAATTTCGATTTGAACCCTAGATATAGTTAAAATGAGTCACCCTCCAACAACAAATCTAGACCATTCATTTTGTGAATTTCAGTATCTTAGCCTTTACAAACTCAAAATTATTTTCTTCTTTAATACTGTTCATCTAATATCAGTAAAGCCATATAAAAAAGTTGAAAAAGAAAAAAAATTTCTAAAGCTTAGATCTAAGCATCTTATCAAAATGGACAGCCTATATTAATGGGGCTAAAAAATATTTTCTAGATTGTATTTTCAAGATTTCCTTTTTTGTGATTATTCGTTAGAAAGACAAAATTGCATATGTTAAAATTTAGATCAAACAAATGGTTTTAACATAGTTTTTGAAGATTATTGCATTATACGATGATACATCCTTGAGATCAATACCTTTTGAAAATATACCTAGAAAATAAGGATGTTTATGCTAAGGAAATTCTCTCATTGTTCAATAGGGAGAGATCCCCATTAATCGGGGCTAGGGGTGGCAACGGGATCCGAAAAAAATTATCAACTCTCGACCCAACTCCAAAAAAAATTATGGGACCGGGACCCAATCCAAAAATTTAAAAATTGTATTTAAATGTTATGTAATGTTATTTTCAATATATATACATATTATTTAAATATTATAACTAAAAATATATAATTATATTTATTTAAATATTTTTAAAATATTATTTGTATGATAACACAATTCGAACCATGGACCCGGACCTGGCTAGAATGCTGTTTAGGTCCAATATTTAGTCCCGATTAGTGTTCACGTCCAATATTTGGATCCGAACAATAGTCGGGTCCAAACATTGAGTCGGGTCCGGGCCCATTGCCACCCCTAGTCGGACCCCATGAATTTATGACTGGAATTTGCATCTGAGAGATCCTGTGAGATTATGAGGTGAAATAAATGGCTAAGATTTTAGATAGACCTAATGGGCTTTGTTTTGCATAATTGGCAAAGTCAAAAGGCTATGGAACGCAAGAAAACGGCCCGGCTCGTACCAACTTTTAGCCAGTAATAGCAAGCTACAAATGCTCGAAATGGAAAACCTAGAAATGCTCGAAAATATTGCGCTCTGAATTACCTTTTCTGCAAATTTGGGTTAGGGTTTCTTCAGTGGTTTTTGCTTCTTCTGGTTCAACAATGGCGGAGGCATCTAGCGTCGAGGCTCTCTCAAATTCGTCAAAGCTTGAGTCTTCCAGTTCATCAATGGCTGAGTCCTCAGGCAAGGACCTCTCAAATTCTTCAAAGGCTGGTTCTTCTAGTTCGTCGATGGCGGAAACCACCTCGAGTGAGGCGCTCTCAAGTTCTACGGAGACCGGGGCATTGACTCATGAGCTTAAGCCGCTGAATAAGCCATGGCATGTGTATACAACCGAGCAGGCTGAGGGTTTGAGAAGATCGGTGGTTGAGTCCTTTCAATCTGCCCCCTCTCTGCAACAGTATTTCCCCCTGCATTTCAGTACATTGCAGGTATTCTGGGCCACTCAGAAATGCGATTTTTCTTTTTTTATAGATTTCAGTTTTTTTCCCTGTATTGGCTGAGAATTTTGTGGTCGGAGAGAGAGAGAGAGAGAGAGAGAAAGAGAGAGATGAAATGATGAAACCAAAATTGGTAAGAGAATGCTGATTTGATGTCACGTTGATTTGAAATTGTTGATGCAAATTTGTAATATTTTCTTGGAAAATAATGTTTGTTTGATTCTCCACTTCCTTTCTGCTCTACTTTTCGTTGTAATGCTGGATTTTTCATGTGTATTTGGACAATTACATCTGATTCCTGATATTATTGTAATGAATTTTGTTGTCGAGCTATGTCTTGCCATTGTATGTGTCCTTGAACATAGGACTTCATTGGGGAGGAGGGGAGTTGAAGTTTGATGGAAACTTGAAAGTGTGATGAGAACCATGAATAAGGAATGTCCTCCTCCTTTGGGTTTGCATAGTTTTGTTGGGTTTATATAATTGTATTGAGATTTAGGGCTTATGGAGTGTCATCTTTGAATGCCTTTCGAATGTACATTTTTATATTGTCTTTGTTCTGGTTGTGTTTTAGGATCCTCTACATTGGGGGATGGTTGTATAGTTCTAGGCTTCTAGATATCAAGGAAATTATGGTCTAGTAAGAGCAATGTATAAGCTGTGTCATTCTCAGAGAGAACAATGTTTTCTTCCCTGCTATCTAAATAAAATATATTCTTGAACTTTATCAATATTTCTCCCCTGTATATCTATTTTTTAACCCTATCGTTCTCAAAGGAGAATCTAATCACGTGAAGGTCTCCTCGAAACATCAGCAATTTGAATTCCTGCGGACCACTGATAATTCTACCTAGAACCTCTCCTAAGGACTCAGATCATTTGGGTTGGATAAATCTGTTAGAATTTTAAACCCAGTATCTAACATGCTTGGTTTAATATAGGTTATGAAATTCCAATTCATCATGGCCGCCACTTTCTTTGTCATTCTACTTTTTCAAGAATTGAAGATGTCTTTTTTACTGTCCTTCTACCCAATGTGATGTCTTCCTACATTTAATCTGAACCCACCAATTAGATTTATACACTAAATCATTGTAAACATTGTTTGTTCTTTCTTCATGTTTATTGTCCACACCTGTACAAGCCCATGCGTGCATACATTTGTTGTATCGTGTATGCCTACAATTTATATATAATGACCTCAAGGGATTGATTTTAGGTTCAATATGTGGTGTGTGGTCGCCGACTTGTAGCTAGTCTAACCCCACGTATTTTGATTGGACTCAAACCATTGTGAATTTGTTTTTTTTTCATTATGTTTATTTGAAATTTCATTAAGACCGAACTAGGGCACTGGTCTAGTCTGAAGGGTCAAATGGGCGCATCAGCTGTAGGCACCAGTCATTTATTATTATTTTCTAATACACAATATTGCAAAAAATGGAGAAGTTATAGGAATTGTTAAAAATTCTAAAAGAAAATCAGAAAACTGGCATGAACAATAACACAATTAGAAAAACATGATGAAAATTTTGGAATCAAGTAATTCTTAGTCATTAATTCATTGACTATTGTAGGCCACTATTTTTTTATTTTTCTTTCTTTCTTGTAATGTTAACAAGGCCACTAAGGCGATGTGATTAAAGTCATTAACACGTACAAAGTATCCAATAGAAAAAACGCATCCATCCTTTCTATCCAAAATCACATACTTTTATCAACACAAACTCGTTATAATATGAATAAAATAATCAGAGTATCTTATAACATGTCCACCAAGATAAAAATGACAAACCTTACCTATTCGCCAGAACCTGTTAATATATATATATATATATATATATATATATATATTTTCACCAGCATGAACAACCAAATTAACAGCTGACTTTGATGATTAGCCACACTTATATGAGTTTGAGCAGATTCACCATCAGGTTAGCTAGATAATGGGCAGTAGGCTTTTAGGATTTAGGTAGAGAGATTGGCAATGTAGAAAATCTCCCTCTCTCTCTCTCTC